ACCTTTCCTCCAAAAAGAAAAGGTCAAGGACTTCCCGCACGAAGCGCAAACAAGCAGAAAGTGCTAATTAGCTGGAGCTCACAGGGGCCTGCAGGCACTCACATGCAGAAGTCCCCGTGACAGAGGGCCCTGAGCAGATCTCCTCCATGAATCGACAGCTCGTCTGCCTGCTGGTACCAAGCACGGCAGCTCTGCCTTGCAGAAACCCACTCTCGAGCGTTTATTACCTTGGCACTAGTCCTGGGGCCTCCGTTTGCAGCGTCTGGAGTCCCTGCTGAATCTGGAGAAGCGCCTGCATGGCGCGGGGGTTGGTGAGAATGGAGAGGGAGTCTGGGTTCTGCATCTAGGAACAAAGGCAAAAAAGACACAGCGGTACCAAACAGCGAGAGCTTCGGCAACCCAAGATCCACCAGGTTTAAAACCTGACTGACAGTCAGCACAGAGCTGCGGCTCTCGCCCCGCAGCCCGAGCGAACCTGCGAGTCTGGCTCCTCCTTCAAGTCTCCAGACCGCAGGGCTCATCTACAGAGATACTCCTGAGAGTTTAGATCAAATTCTCTACATGAACTGGGTCAATCAGATTAGAACTGCGGGCACCTGCCTTCGGAATTGATTTGTTTGATTTTACCTGAGCCAACCAGCTGCTCTAGCCCAACTAGCTGCTTGAATTTTTTTGCAAACTCATGACAGTGGCAGACTGGGGTTTCGCTGTAGCCTAACTAGGCTAACTGGAAGCCCGTCGTTAGGCAGTTCAGATTTAGATTGCCTCGTCTACACCAGCTCTTTCTCTCTCCCCTGTGCAAACCCCTTTCTTTAACAGTTCAGACCACCCAGGCCCACGTATTTCCTGGGTCACTCGACTAAGCAGCCGCGACACTCCCTTTCCTACAGAGGACGGAAAAGCTCTGGAGCCCGGGGGGCTGAGAGCAGCGCAGGGCCAGACAGGGGCCTTTACCTGCTGCAGGAAGACAGGGAGCTGAAGGCGGAGCTGTTCTTGAAGCTGTGGATTCCCAGCAAAGAGGGGGACATTTACCATGATCTAGCAAGAGACAGCACACGTAGGTAGGGTCAGAGGGTTGCTGCCACCGCCTGTTAAACCCTACGTAACTAAGCGACGACGAACCTGTCGGTCATGCCCGTGACTCCCTCCCTGGGCTTTCAACGCGTGGCCCTGCTTAACGGGGACCGAAACAGGACAGCTCAAATCCTGGCAGCAGTGTTCAACAGGGGCCACTTGGCCACAGGCAAAGAGAAGGGCTGTTCCCACATCCTTTTGAGAGCCACCTTTTTTGTTAGGGGCTCTGCTAAGACAGAGGGTTTAGCGCTGTGACTACCTTCAAGCTATCGGGAAACACAACAAAACTGTCTCTATTCACTCAGCTCCCCCGTTTCTGCGAGAGGAACCACTCCAGCTACAGAAGCAGCTCACGGCCGACACCAGGAGACAACGGCCAATACTTTTACCTGTGCTGCAAAGTCTGGGTTTTGGGCAAGAGTTTGCATCATGCTTCGCATGTAAGGGGCCGAGATCATGTTCTGCATCAGCTGAGGGTTTTCGGAAATCTGCTGCAGGAGTCCTTGCATCTCTGGGCTGTTAAACATGCCTGTGAGGGGAGAGGGAAGAAAAGACAAAGGAAAACCCCTTGCAACCCTGAGCATTGCTGAAATACCTGACAGAACAGCAACTCCTTTGCTTCATCCCCTGGTCAACAAGTATTGCTGTGGACAGCCAGGGTACTGCTTGGCTTGCTGCTCGCCCATGCTGTCAGGGGCTGCAGGGACATCAGAGTTCCCAAAAAGTAACCCTCTGAGACAGAAATAACCCACCCGCGCTTGCAACTGGGCTAGAATCATTCGCCTGGAGAGCAGCCACGGACGGGCACTCAAATGCCAGAGGGAACTGCCCTCCAAGGCAGCTCAGGTGACCTCTGCAGCACCCTCTGGTTCCTCTCTCGCTTACGTACCAGC